CCCTTCGTTTCCCCATCATCATAACAACAAATTATTAGTATTGTTATTATTAAAAGAATCACCTTTCCCCACACGTAGCGAGAAGATAGAAACCCCACCAGATCTCTCCTTCTCGCTCTCGTCTCTTCCTAATCGACCAAGAGCAGCAGCAAGCACGACCAGCAACGGGAAGGCAGAGTAGGTCGTCACAGAGATGCTCGACGACATCGTCTTCTTTTGACATCAAGAGGTAAGGTTTTCCGTCTCATCGATCCTTAAGCTCGTTTTAGGACTCGAGTAACCCGACGAATCATGTAATGAACGTAGCTCCAACGGCGACCCCGGTGTACTCGAACTCAATGAAGCCTCAAAACCTTGGTACCATCTCATAGAGAGTGATCTCAGGAACACCCCGGTTTCGACGGAATCGAGTTTTGACGTCGGACGAGGAAGATACGAGCCTCTAAAGCTTGAGACGTGAATCGGATAGTTCAGGTACCATTACTGTCTGTTCGAAAAGTATAAGGACTTAGGGGGTAATTTCATTTCAGTCTGTGAGAAAATGTCCATGCTAGTTCCCCATATTTCCAGTACGAGCAGCTTAGTCCCCGGAGTTTTAAACTTTTTATATAGATCGAAAATGGGGTTTTCCCTAGATTATTATTTTTTTTGTTGCCTTACAGTGGGTATTTTCGTGTTGGGATAATTTTATAAATAAGAACAAATCAATAGAGTATTTGGATATTAATTCAAGAATTTTTGGAGCTGTCGTCCTAATTATAAAAATTTGTGGGAAGACTATTTTAGTTAAATAAAATAGTATGCGAATGTTTTTACTAGATTACTAGATTTGATAATTTTATTATAAGCAATATACACGTATGTTTGTTCATAAATTATTTGGTAATTTTTAGAGTGGACTCGCTACTTATAAAAATTCAGATGGTGTCGGTTTTAAATTATTAAAGTGTTGTAAGAATATTTCTATTACATTTTTAATTTTAGGTGAAACTAGAGTATATCTTCTACGTTAGAAAAGTGAATACCAGAGTTTTAGACATTTGTAGCATAGGCTCGAAAATTAGTTTTGTTAAATTAAATAAGAAGGAGGGGTTAATTAAGGTGTAAATTATAGTTAATAATTTTGGTTTATGTTTTAAGTTATTAGAAGTCAGAATTTGTAGTTTGAGGGGTAATGGATTTCTTTTGGAAAGTTCATGAGAATTTTTAGGAGATTTATGCAAGAGATTATTTAATTAGTTAGGATGAGTTAAGACCTTCTTAAGGAATTATGGGACTAAGCTAGGAGAACGGGAAGTTTTGGGAAATAGCGACTAAGGGAAATTTAATCTCGATTTATAGGATCAAGGAGGCGATCAAATTAAGGGACCCCACGTCAAAGGAAGTAAAGTATCGGCACTTGAGAGGTGAGTGTAAAGGGGATAAAATCTCCGTCGAGGTCTTTCAGTTTATGCCTTTTTAATTCAGTTATGTTATTTAATTTTCAAGTAAACGCGATTGTGTGTGTGAGGCATCCCACCGCCTACTTAAGGTGGAGGCACGCGTTGTGCTATGTATGTGTATGTTTGTGATATATGGTTGATGGTAAGATGAACCCCCGGGCGGTTGGGCCACTACTGGACGCGGTAGATGGTCAGGTCACTACTGGACGACGATACGTAACGCAGTAGTTGACCGGGCATGGACTGGACGGCGATACGTAACGCAGTACCATTGCCTTGAGGATAGGGACACCGGACGGCGATACGTAACGCGGTGAACCCAAATAATAAGTATATAAATTAAGATAGAAGTACAGAACTTCTATAAGCTATTAGAGACTAAAATATTAAGGATTAGAGCGAGAACGACTTTCATGTGGGAGGAAGTAATTTCTAATAATGTGTTAGTAGGGCTTGCTTAGGCAAAGACCTTAGAAAGTAACGACGAGACTGACCCCTTCTCACTCACCAGGTGTGGAAAGGGGAAGAGGACATAACCAGCACTAGGAGATTAATCAAGGAGGGCAGCCGCGTCAAGCTTGAAGATGTCGGAAGGATCAGGGTATTGAGATGGTACCCTTTTTATCATATTTGTCTTTATTTCCTGTTCTATGAGTATACTGGGGAACTCAGGTTTTCTGTTCAAGTGTTTGGATTGAGATTTTCCCAACTGTTTAGGGCTTTTCGTTGAGATTTTTGGTTACTATCGTTGGTTGATTATTGGTTTAACTTTAAAACATGGTTTGGGTGCTCCGGAGTAACTGGTTTTTGTTTTAAAGTTTGGGTTTTGAATTGTCCAAAAAGATCGGGTCGTTTCAATAATGATCCTCCCATTTTCTGGGGAAATCGAGTCTTAAGCGATACTCGGATCCCCCTTATTTTGTCAAAAAACTCTATTTTCAAGAAGATGTATACGTCTCTTAAGAGTATAACGAGTGTACTTGTATTGGTTTAAATCATTGAAACAACCAATACGATTTACAAAATGGTATAATGGATTTATGTGTATGTGTGTGTATATCTTTGAAAAAATCAATGATAATCATTTTTTTTAATTTCAGTTGTTTGGTATAATTGATTTATGTGTATATCTTTCAAATACTATTCATTTTAATTAATGAAATATGTTTGTTATGACATATTTATGTGTGTATCTTGCAAATAAGTATTCATTTTGTTAATTTAAATGGTTTGTCATAATAGATTTATGCATTTATAAATCATAAACTTATGGTTGTAATTTGTTTGTTAGAGAGCACACCATATTATCCGCTAGAAGGGTACAAGCAATGTGCTCGCAAATCACAATAAAAATTTATACAAAATAAACTTACGAGGTAAGGTTAATCGCAAACAAAAAAAAAAAAGTAGGGAGCAGAACATAATTTTATAGAAGAAGAAGGAGAGGGAGTAGTGAAGAGTTGGGGTATCCAGGACTGCAATTTATAGGCAAAATGTCAAGTGAAAACCACGGGAAGATGTGACGCTTTTCACCAAACATGTAAACCCTACGTATGCAACCCCCCTGCATGTCGACATATTGACTGTCGGGGGAGATGGGGACGACATATAAACTGTCACTGCCCCCGGCTGTTTATGTGTTGGCAAATAGAATCGCTGGGGCGTTACTTTTTGCTGACCTAGAACCGCCAGGGCTTTCAGCAGTTTGTTTTAGGTTAGCCATAAAACCGCTACTGGCACATACGGTTTGTAGGAAAAATAAGAACCGCCGCCTACCCCAGAGGTCAATTTGTGAACTGCTGGAGTAGGTGGCGGTCTATATGAAAAGGTGGTATGAGTGTAATATTTTTTAAAAGGGTGGTATTTTTGAAATAATTTAGTTTTAGGGAGGTAATATTGGAAAAATTTCACGGAAAAAACCAATTTGAGAAGTGAGTATGGAAAACTTCCTTGCCAATGTATGAAAGGGCCAATATAACTTTTATTAACTAAACTATGTCGTTTAATAGTATGTTTCACTTTCATATGTTGAGTTTGAGAGATTAAACTCTCTTTCTCTTCCTTTTCTATTTCAACGGGGTCGGTTAGCTTGCTAACCCCCTTAGGGGTTGGTTTTTTGACACCCCATTCCTCATTGGTCAATTTTTTTTATTAATAATTTGGCTAGTATTAATGAAAATAAACATAATAAATGCAAATTGTAAACTTTAATACTCTTATTCAATACAAATTAGGAATTAAATACACCACTTTAATTACATGCTTTTTTAAATCTAAACTTACATAAAATACAATTTTCTCTCCTATCTCTGAATTAAATACACCACATTAATTACTTCCACCACCACCACCATTCTCCTCTCTCCAATCGTCGCCGTCCTACCGTCACCATCCTCAGGCATCGCTGCCACCATCCCCGTCGTTGCGACACCCTCCTCCCCCATGCTCCTCTCCCGGTGAGTTTTCAATTTCCAAATCTAACTTTTCGATTTCCAGTTCTGCTTATTGTACCACTGCAATTTAAACTCAAATCTAAGATTTGTACCAGTGCACTGGTAGCGATATCAGTGCTCTTGTACGAATCTCAGATCTTAGTTTAAATTGCAGTGGTACAAATATCAGTGCAATGGTACAACGTATCAGTGAAGTGGTATAACTTTTTAATGTATTCGTACATTTTTGCAGGTGCCTTGAGGGAGTATGCCGACGGGATTTTCACCGGGGAAGTGTGGTGGTCGGAGTAAGCCAGGTGGTCGAAGGCTGCTCGAAAAGAAAGGATCGGAGATAGGAGAGAGAAATGTATTTTATATAGGTTTAGATTTAAAAAAGCAAGTAATTAATGTGGTGTATTTATTTCTTATATTTAATAAGAGTATTAAATACTATAGGTTGCATTTATTATGTCTACTTTCATTAATACTTGCCAAATGATTAATAAATTGACTAGTGAGGAAGGGGGTGTAAAAAACCAACACCTTTAGGGGTAGGCATATTATCCGACCGGGTTAATTGCACTAGATACCAACTAAGTATTGATTTTGTTGCACACTAGCCACTTAAATTTTTTAGTTGAAACTAAACCACATAAATCAACTTCCGGTTGCACCATTATATTTTCCATCATTAAACTTAACGATAGGTATTAAATTGGAATTTTCTGCCTCAGTTTGCGCTATGTATAATTACCTTATGCCTCCCTCTGTTTTTTTCCCCTTCAGTATCTATAATTGTTACCGTTTTTACTTTCTTGATCTAATTGAATTGAACTTTGGCTTCCTAACAAGCAATTGAACTTTCTAGACTTAGGAAGTGAAATGCAATCTCGATTTGCTTTTTTTGGGTTTATGATATGTTTTGCGTTTTTGGTGCCTTTGTACAATCAATCTAATCATGGTAATAATAAGGGCAAATACCTAGGAAACCCGAACTATGAAAAATTTGTCATTTGTGTCCTAAAGTATCCAATATGACATTTGTGTCCTAAACTATTTTTCCATTAGAGTTGACCAGCGTTGACTGTTATTTTTTAATAGAGAGACTAGTCAGCACTGATGTGGAATCTGACGTGAAATTTTATTATTTGTTTTTCATAAAAATCAATAAACTAACAAAAGGAAATTAAAAATTATAACAAAAATCATGGAAAGAAAACATTCCCACTGAGTGCGCCCCGCAGCCTTCGTCCTCCCAACCAGCCGTCGCCGCCTCGTCTCGCCCTCGGGAATAGCCACCATTGCCTCTTCAGCTCGTCCCTTGACCTTGTCATTCGACGTGAAGAATACCCAGCGCCGCAATAGCCTTCCTTCTCCTTGATATCTCTTCAAGATGTCATCTTCTTCCATTCCGATCCCCGTCCAGTAGATCGACAACTGCTCGCCGACGAGATCTCTGTTACTCACCATAATGTCCAAAACCCACCTAATTAAGCGCATTTAGGGTGGGATTTTGTGGGTTCTTAGTTAGGAAGGGGATTGAGATTAGTGGAATTTGGGGAGAGACAGTCTGGTGGCGTCGATATTGCGAGATCTGGTGGATTTTGCGGGATCTCTGTTACAATTTGGGGAGGTGGGGCTTATCTGGTGGCATCAATTTGGGGAGGATCAAGGTTGAGCTCTGCTCGCCACCGTTGCTGCGGTCGAGCTTTACTCGTCGCCTTTGCTGCGGTCGAGCTCTGCTCGCCGCTGTCCTAGTCACGGCCACAGGCCATCGAGCGCCGCCGTCACCCTCTGCATACTCCTCGTCCAATGTCTTCACCCTCTCTTCAGTCAGGGGAGGTGTCGGCTCTAAGGAGAGTAGAGGGTATCGTAGGCGAGAAAGGGACATAGGGGAGGCAAGGGGTTAGGGGAGAGGAGATGGCAATCGTTCTCAGGCGAGAAAGGGGATGAGGAATGCGGCGGGTCTAGGGAGAAGAGATGAGAGGATAGTTTTTTTCTAATTTATTATTATTAATTTATTTCTTGTAGTTTGTATTTAATTTTGAATTAAAAATATGATGTGTTAATAATAAATGTGTTAATAATATGATGTGTTAATAATCTGGTGGCATCTACGTGGCTGCCACGTCAACAAAAGTCAATAATAAAGTTGACTTCTGTCTGGTCAACCGTAAACTATAATGGTCAATGAAATCGTCAGGACGTAAATGACACACATCTATCATAAGTTGGGACACAAATGTCATATTGGATACTTTAGATCACAAATGACACATTCTTCATAGTTCGGGTTTCCTAGTGGTATTTCCCTAATAATAAATATAGTTTTTTAGACTTAGGAAGTGAAGTACAATCAATTCTGATTATGATCTCTGACATGGTCATCTCACATGCTTTCTGTCGATTTAACCATGGTATTGGTAACTATAGTTTTTTTTCCATGTCAGATGCTTGTCTGTACTTTTTTCTTTTACAATTCAATTTGGTCAGATTAGCTAGTAATGAGGATTTTTCCAATAATAGCACCCTAAAAAAATACAAAAATAGCACCCAACCCACACAAATTCCAAAACTAGCATCATTTTTTCAAAACTACACGGTCAAGGTGTGTTTTATGTAGAAACCGCACAATGAAGGAGCGGTCCTCGTTAGGGCATACCCAAAACCGCACACTGACGAGGCGATCCTCATTCCCGCGGCGGCGGTCCCCAGCACCGTTGGATTAGACAGCCATCCAAAGGCCAACCGCACGGCAGAGCAGTGATCCGCGCCACCGATCGAAGACCGCGCGCTTGGGGAACGGTTTGCGCCTCGGACTCCATGAACCGCTCCCTCAAGGTGCGGTTTTGGTAAGGGAAAAATTACGAAACCGCCCCTGGAAGGTGCGGGGTGAAGACTCTAAATACCCCCCCCCCCCCCCACCCTCTTATTTTTTTCACACAACAACCCATTCTTCTCTCTCTCTCTCTCTCTCTCTCTCTCTCTCTCTCTCTATCCATCCCCCTCCCCTACCAAAAGTCTAGGAAATAGTGGTTTGTTGGTTGCGGCTAAGTCTGATATGCCATTAGAAAACATTTCTTTGGCTTTTCCTTCAAAACCTGTTGAATCTCTGTCGGACTTTCGCGAAAAAATGGATGAGTGGTTCCAAGAAGAGGGAGTTTATTATGACGAATTTCAAGCGGTACGTACTCATTTTACCAAATTTTTGTTGTTGTTATAACCTTTTTAATTAATCTATGTACTAACCCTTGTTTTTATTCTCTCGTAGGTTGGGGACGACGTGGATATATACAACCAACGGTATTATGTTGATCAAGGACCTAATGATCCAACCGTGTTGTACGACCAACCCAACCATCGTTCAAGGGATGTTTGGAACGATCACGAAGTACATACAATTCTTCATCATTTGTCTTTCTTTTATTTTGTTAACGTACTGATTCGGGCCCAAATGTACACATTTTACCCCTCATTTCTTATTCGTTTAGCTTAGTATTTCATCATTCCTTGACATATTTCACGCTAGGTTGTGCTTGTTTCGATACATTTCAGGTCCTAGCACGTGTGGAAGGGTCGAGGTCGAATAGTGGGATAATTGGAGGTCAAAAAGTGAAAAAAACCGAAGAAAAGTCCGAAGACAATTGCCTCGTAACAGTGAAGTAAAGGCGTCCAGGAAACAGCCGTCATTGACGGCCGGACAAGGCAGTTCACGGTCTCCTAAGACCGTGAACATGGACCATAAACCGTGAACATCGAGCAGTCCAGGACCAAATCTGAAGTTACTGACGCGAGGCGAGTTCACGGTCTCTAAGACCGTGAACTGGGACCATTGACCATGAACCCATGCGAGTGAAGCGGCGCGTTTTGGACAACGTTGAGTTCACATACGCGTTTAGGTGTTCACGGCCGTGAAAATGCCAACGCGTCCGGGGACTGGTCACTTTCGGGCAAATATGAAGACAGCAGCGGGGAGAGAGAAAGGAGAGCTGGTATTGGGAGAAGAAACACTTTATTTCTCTAGGGTTTCAAACTAATTACCGTGGAGGGATGCACCCTTAGGTTTGTGCATGTTGGTGCTAGCAATCTAATTAGCCACTTTAACCTAGGTTAATTTAGGGCTAACCTCAATGTTGAATTAAGCAAATTGGTTAAGCGTGGTTAACCCGTCCAACCTTGAATCGAGTGAGGGAGTAAGTCAACTACCGATTATCTAAAACGATAGGGTCGATTGACACGAACTTTCATGCTTACCTCGGTTTAGCAATTGAGATTGTGGTCTCCTACCACATATGCATCCCTCTGCGGTACGCGATTACCAGTTTGCATCTAGGTTGGCTGTGATTTAGCCGCTCAAACTCAGGTTTGAGGGAGAGACCTAGGAAACCACTATATCCTGAGTAAGAGGATCGATCCCGTGACAAATTGATCTCAAGCGAATCCATCCTATGACATATGGATCCCTAGTTTCTCCTCCTAGTGGTTCCCCTAGACTTGGTGAGTGGATCGATATCGTGACAAATCGATCGCTAGTGAATTGATGTCGCGACAAATTGATCACTAGTTGCTCACCCGCGAGGTTCGCAACCACCTACGCCTCACGACTTCATTCAATCCAACGAGTCATGGTAGCTAGTTAGGGGGAAGCAATTCCTGGGTGAAGCTCCCTTAGTTAGAATTTTCCTTTATTTTCCTTTCTTTGCTTGGTTAGTTTGTAGTTCCAATAAACCTGAACCCTAAAGTTGCTTGCCAGAAAAAAACTTAAGCGATCGAAGTAGGGGTACATGGACAAGCCCGGGTTAACCATTTAAATACTTGCCCTATACTGCACCCGACTAAAGTTTAAAAACTTGGGCTCTAGTCGGGATTAATTTTTGGTGTAGTTTCGTGTGAGTCAAGTTTTTTGCGCCGTTGTCGGGGAATCGCGGTCCATTATTTTGAAAATGTCGCTTATTGTTAATCTAGCATTTCTATATTGCCTTTTTGTTTATGTTCTGTGTTTCGTATTGTGTTTTGTTTACCCAGTCTTCTCTTAGAAGGGTGGTTTGTGTTTGTTTGATTTTATTTTTATGTTTTTGTTTGTGTAGGTTATGAATCATGGATCCCAATGGCTTCTACAATAGGTGGGGGTATCCACAACCACCAGAATGGGTGTACCCAAGAGCTTCATGGAGTGAACAAGAAGGGGGAAGCCAAGGATCCGGGTTCTATTACCAACCTCCCTTCCAAGACGAACAACCATACCATTGGGGATATGAAGAGGCTTCCCCGTATCAAGAAGATTTTCCTCCACAACCCGAGGAGAAATCCAAGTTAAGGGTGGCCATGGAAGCCTTCATGGGACAATCATCAAGACCATGTGCCACTCCACAACCGGAGCCAAAGAGAAACTGGGAGTTCATGGTGGAGCAATTTTCCCAGGGTACCGACGAAGGATGCTCCAATTCGGATCTTCCCATCACCGGTCCTATCGACTCAACCTTTCTTCAGGAATCGGAGGAGCTCCTTCGAAGCACGAAAAGGCGAGGAGAGCTTATTGAGAAAGCATGTGCACAACTTGCTCACAATCGCCTCCTGCCATTGGAAGAAAGAGAGGAGGTCGAAGAGGCAAGTTATGAGACCTTTGGAAGAATGAGCTCCGGCATGGATTTCCAACCCCTCCCTCCTCCCGGTTTGACACTAGATGAGAAAGTGGCACGAGCTTGTGAAAGCTATTGCCTCTCATTATTGGAGGATAAAGAGGAGGTTGAAGGAGCGATCAATGACAATCGTGTGGATCAAGAAGAACTCACCCCGGAGAGCTCCCATGGTGAGGATGAACAAGAAGGTGTCATTGATAACTCCCATCTTTTTCCCCTTCCCAAAAGCAACCTTGAAGACCAAGACACGAGTATGGAGGAGCAAGAGAATCCCTTTTATGAGCTTGCGTGGCATTTTGCCCTCAAATTGGTGCTTGAAGACATGAATGGGAAGGAGGAAGAAGTGGTTGAAGAGGAGGAAGTGAGCATTGACGAGGAGGAAGATCTTGAGTGTTCCTATTGGGAGGAATCAAATTTTGAATAAGGAAGGGAGGTTGAAGATGAAGAAGGTGCAAGTGGAGTCCAAGTGCAGACCTAGGTTGCTCGATTGTTCGTTCCTATGATGTGATCTTCATGCATGAGTAACTGTGATTGGTGAATCGTCGAGGCATGTTGTATGTGGGTTCATGAATAATGTGAGAACTCTTCTTTTGCATAATCTTAATACAGTTGAATGTCGTTTGTGGTGGTTGCCAAGATTACTTTGTTTTTGTCCATAGGTTTGAGTCAAATAACCATTGTGATTCATTTGTTTTGTTCCCTATGACATGCCCCAAAAATTGTGTTGAAAAACAAGTTGTAAGCTTACCTAGTTTTGTAATTGGTTTGCTTGGGGACAAGCAAACGTCTAAGTGTGGGGGAGTGATTCGGGCCCAATGTACACATTTTACCCCTCATTTCTTATTCGTTTAGCTTAGTATTTCATCATTCCTCGACATATTTCATGCTAGGTTTTGCTTGTTTTGATACATTTCAGGTCCTAGCACGGCTGGAAGGGTCGAGGTCGAATAGTGGGATAATTGGAGGTCAAAAAGTGAAAAAAACCGAAGAAAAGTCCGAAGACAATTGCCTCGTAACGGTGAAGTGAAGGCGTCCAGGAAACAGCCGCATTCACGACCGGCAAGGCAGTTCGTGGTCTCCAAAGACCATGAACACGGACCATAAACCGTAAACATCGAGCAGTCCAGGGCTAAATCTGAAGTTACTGACGCCAGGCGAGTTCACGGTCTCTAAGACCGTGAACTGGGACCATTGACCCTGAACCCATGCGAATAAAGCGGGGCATTTTGGACGACACTGTGTTCACGGAAGCATTTAGGTGTTCATGGCCGTGAACTGGACGACGCTTCC